CAGCAGCAGCAGCAGCAGCAGCAGCAGCAGCAGCAGCAGCAGCAGCAGCAACAGCAGCAGCAGCAGCAGCAGCAGCAACAGCAGCAGCTGCTGCTGCTGCTGCTGCTGTCTTTCCTCCGGTGAAGACCCAGTGGTCTTGCGCTATGCGGGCCACTGGTGCTCCCCCACTGCGCAGCCGCCAATCAAGCTGCTGCTTTGCCACTGCTGCTGCTGCTGCTGCTGCCGCTGCTGCTGCTGCTGCTGCTGCCGCTGCTGCTGCTGCTGCTGCTGCTGCTGCTGCTGCGCTGCAGCGCCGATAAACGCGTGTCTGCTGCGGGCCTCGCCGAGCCCGCTGAGCCACTTGGCAGCTTTGGGGGACTCCGACGGACTTGTGCGACTTTTCGACATAAGGGGGGGGGGCCGGCGTTTTGGCTACGTGCAGGTGTTGGCGGACGCGAAAGACGCGATTTCGAGGTGGAAACTGCGCCTTTTTCGCCGATTAAACCCTCAAATTCAACTTAATTGCATTTTGCTGCACTTATTTCCACTTTTTAATCCAAAATTCCGAATTTTCGACCCCAAATTCCCCAAAAGTGCTTTCGTCGAGCGCGCACGCTGAGGTGTACGTACACCGCAGAGCCGCGCGTTCGGCTGCGCCCGCGGCAGCCGCGCGGCCGCGCGAAGTGAAATTCAAAACAATTAATGAATTATTTGAATTATTTGAATTATTTGAATTGTTTAAATTGTTTTTAATTTGTTTTGAATGCATTTTGCGCTTTTATTCTTCTGCAGCATCGTGGCGGCGCGGGAACGCCTCATCGTGGCTTCCCTCGACGGCTGCGTGTACACCTACGACCTGCGCAAGGGCGCTCTGCATGTCGACTGCTACGGAAGTCCAATAACTTGGTGATTTTAATTCTAAATAACATTTAAATGTTATTTTTTGCATTTATTTCCATTTATTTCATTTATTTGCTTTTATTTGCACTTTTTTGCACTTATTTTCATCCATTTTCGCCTATTTTCGCATTTTTTCCACTTTTGCCTTCCTGCTGCAGTGTATCGACACCTCGTTTCAATTTGCGTTTCTTTCCCTTTTCTCTTTTCCTTTCCATTTTTAGTTTTTGTTTTATTTCATTTTTGTTCATTTTATTACTTTTGAACTCCAGTTGTTCCATATTTAAATATTTCTGGTCCTCCTACTTCTTTAGTCCTATGCCCTCCTCCTCCTCCCCAAACCCTAAACCCTAAACCCTAGCCCCGCCATATTCCAATCCACCCAGTATATAACATACATACACACATATATATAAATAAGTATATATACAGATATATTATACATATATTTAATGCAAATGAGAGGTAGATATGTAAATAAAAATATGTATTTAATTGGGGTTTGTTCTGCTGCTGTTGCTGCTGCTGCTGCTGCTGCTGCTGCTGCTGCTGCTGCTGCAGCATGTCTTTGTCTGCGGAGGAGACTTTGCTGCTGCTGTCTTGCGTGGACGCGAGCCTGCGGCTGGCGGAAGTGACCTCGGGGGAAACTTTGCATGCGTTTTGGGGTCACTTGCATTCTTCTTGTGGGGCTTTTCGCATGCAAAGTTGCTTCTTTGCTGCTGCTCTCCCGCTGCCGCCTCCGGGCGCAGCAGCGGGGCTGTTTGCTGCAGCAGCAGCAGCAGCAGCGGACCCCGACGCGCCCCTCCAGCTGCAGCAGCAGCAGCAGCAGCAGCAGCAGCAGCAGCAGCAGCCTAAAAGGGCCTTCGATGAACTCCTCGAGACTCTCCAAAACTCCAAATTCAAATCCAAAAATAATAATCTCCAGCCCCTCTTTCCTTACGTTGTTAGCGGCAGCGAAGACGGCTGCATATATTTCTGGGATGTCTTAGCAGCAGCAAGGGGGGGGCCCCCCGGGGGGCCCCCCGGGGGGCCCCCCGGTTTCTGGGGGCCCTTCAAGAAGGGGTCCATGGGAAAGCCCATGAGGCCCCAGCACTTGTAGTCAAAAGCGATTTGCTGTCGCAGCGGCTTTGCACAGCAGCAACAGATGGCACAGTGAAGTTGTGGCGGCAGCTCTGATTGCTGCTGCTGCTGCTGCTGCTGCTGCTGCTGCTGCTGCAGCAGCAGCAGAACAGGCAGAGGAAGCAGCAGCAGCAGCTCTCACTGGGGCTGGAGAAAACTGCCGCTTCTGGGGCCAACGCAGTTAAAGACAAAGAGCTTCCCACTTAGGGGCAACTGCGCAGGTCTGCGGGCCTGCTGCCGACGTTTTTGAGTAAACTTTCTCTAAATGCATTAAATTAATCTTTTAAATTCAATTTAGGAAAAGAAAAAGATCTTTTAAAGCTCAAATGTCCCGGTTTCGGCTGCCGGGGCCCGAGGCAGGAGCTGCACAGACACCCCAGGCTGCACACTGCCGGCGTTTCAGATCTCTCGCTAAATTGGAGTTAAATTGGAGCTTTTTGTGCGAAAAGACTTCTGAAAAGTTCTAATTTTGAATTTAAAAGTTAATTGGAAGATAAAAACTGGAAAACGGCGTTTAATTTGCTGTATGAGTCCAAATGGGCGTTTCGAGCGTTGCGGATTGCGGGTGACACCGCCGACTGGGCTGATGTCGCGGAAACTCGAAGAAAAACGCATTTAATTGTACTGCTATTTATTTACATTGAAAGTATTTATTTAAATAAAACAATTATTTATTTCAATTGAATAAAAACTGGAAAAGTTCGTTTCCTGTGCAGCATGAAATCGACGAAGTGCTCGCGCAGAAGAGCGCTCACGCAGCAGCTCTGCGCAGGCTTGGCCTGTAAATGCAAAACCAAACAAAAAATGAAAGTCTTTGAAATTGAAATTAAATTTAATTTGAATTATATTTAATTTAAATGCAAAAAATGGCGCACGGGGGGCTTTCTGGGGAAAGATCTTCTCGCTGGCGACGGCTGGCCAGCAGCGGCCGCCGCCGACTTGTGCCTTGTGCTGCTGCGCCTCTCACTCGGGATACACTGCAGCATTTCGGATCTGTTTCTCTTTTGAAGATGAATATTTATTTATTATTTATAAATATTAAACAAATATTTGCGTAGACTTTTCTGCTTCGGAGTTTTCAGCTTTCTTCTCGGTGGAATGGCCAGCCAGCCGCGCGCGCCGCAGAGCTCTCTCGTGCGATCTTCGCGCAAAGACAGAAATAAAAGGCCCTTCAACGGAAAAAAACAAAAATTATGTCAATTAAACTTTATTGCTTTTATTTGAACAACTTTTTTCTCCTTTTTAACCGGATTTAAACGCCAGATCGCCTCACTTGAACGGGCTCGCCGCTGCGCTCGGTGACTCCCGCGCAGAGAGCTGCAGCTAGATGAACTGCGCTTTGCTGCTCTTCAAAACAAACAAAATTCAACAAATTCAAATTTTAAAAATACTTTTAAAACCAATTTATTCCAAATTAAGGGATTTAGACGCCGGATCGCGCGTGTCTTCTGTCGTGGCCCAGCAGCAGCCGCAGCAGCAGCAGCAGCAGCAACAGCAGCAGCAGCAGCATCAACAGCAGCAACAGCAGCAGCAGCAGCATCAACAGCAGCAGCAGCAGCAGCAACAGCAACAGCAACAGCAGCAGCAGCAGCAGCAGCAGCAGCAGATTTTATTCGTTTTCAGCAGCTAATTATGCGCCATGAGTCTGCTGTCGCAGTATTGGCTCTATGAGCCGAGCTGGGACCTTCAGACCCTCTCGGCCTCCATGAGGGCCCTGCCTGCGGAGCAGCAGTTCAAGCTGCTGCTGCAGGAGCAGCAGCAGCAGCAGCAGCAGCAGCAGCAGCAGCAGCAGCAGCAGCAGCTGCGGCTGCCCTCTGCAGCACGACTGCGCAGCCTCCGAGCAGCAGCAGTGACAGCTTCTGTCATTTCCGTTTTGCTTTCTCTTGTGCGTCTTTACCTGCGCTGCTTCAGTGCTGCTGTGCCTGCCCTGTGTGCTGCCAGCATGCTGCTGCTGCTGCACAGCAGCAGCAGCAGCAGCAGCAGCAGCAGCAAGAGATCTGCAGCAGCAAAGACCGACAAGGGGCGCCTCGTGGCTCTGGCTGGGGCGTGGGCTGTTGCAGCATTTTTGGACTTTACAGCAGCTTGCGACTATGTGCTGATTCCGGGTGTGCTGCAGCAGCAGCAGCAGCAGCTGCTGCTGCAGCAGCAGCAGCTGCTGCTGCTGCTGCTGCCGCTCGCCTGCGCCTCCTTCAGCCTTTCTGCTGCTGCTGCTTCCCTCTGCTGCCTCCTTAGCTGCTGCTCTTTTATTCTTTTTAAAAACAATTTCGGAGAAGCTCAAAAAGAAGAAAAAGCTCCTCTTGTTGCTGTTGCAGTGCAGGGGGCCCTTGAGGACTGCGAAGAGCTGAGCCCCCCAGCAGCAGCAGCAGCAGCAGCAGCAGCAGCAGCAGCAGCAGCAGCAGCAGCAGCAGCAGCTGGTGGGGCTTTTGTGGGCGTTCAGAGCTCGCCGGAAAGTCCTTTTAATTGTGAATCAGGTGTACGTACACCTCGGGTTTGCAGCTCAGATTTCTGCAGCGAAGAAGAAGATGGACTTCCTGTAGTTGCTGCTGCTGGCTGCCGCGGAGGCAGCAGCAGCAGCAGCATAGAGGAAGCAGCAGCAGCAGCAGCAGCTGCTGCTGCTGCTGCGGAGTTTTCTTCCTGCTTCAATTCTGATAACGAAATGGACTAGTACGGTGCAGCAAAATCAGACTTCGGCAGCAACAGCAGCAGCAGCAGCAGCAGCAAATCCAATAGCAATAGCGGCAGCAGCAGAAGCAGCAGCAGCAAGCAGCAGCAGCACCATTCTTCCTGCCTGGAAAGTGCCACGGCAAAGACAGACCTATCAGGATCAGCAACCACTAACGAGGACAACCTACAGCAGCAGCAGCAGCAGCACCAGCAGCAGCAGCAACAGACGCAGGAACAGGAGCAGCAGCAGCAGCAACAGACGCAGGAACAGGAGCAGCAGCAGCAGCAACAACAATTACAAAAGACGCAGCAGCAACAGCAGCAGCTGCAGCAGCAGGGATGCGTTTGCTGAGTCACTGCGCGTGGCAGATGAACTCCGCCACTTTATTCGTTTTATTTTATTAATTATATATTTTAAAAAGAGAGATATTTTAAAAAGAGAGAAAAGAGCAGCAAAATTGGTTTTGAGGAGAATGCATTCGGGTGTCACTGCAGCAGCACTTAGTGGCGTCGAGGTGTACATACACTGGAACCTATCCGGTCGATTTCATCCGTTTTTTTGCAATAAATAAAAAACAAATCAAAAATATTAATTAAAAATATATCTTGTGGTTATATTTGAGGACAAAATAAACTCTTTGGCTTCTTTTCTGGCCGAGCCACGCAGACACCTCGAGGTGTACGTACAGCTCCGCCGGTGCTGCAGCAGCAGCTACTCCGGGACAAAAACAAGTTTTAAACCAATTAAATGTTTTATTTTAGAAAAATTATTTAATTTATTCATTTGAAGTTCGAAACTAGATTTAAAATTCCCACAAATGGGCGGAGCCTCATCAGCTGTACGTACACACGGTGCCTTGTTCGTTTTTCCGTGTTTTAAGAACCACTCTCACTTTAATCGTAATTTTTAATTAATTAAAAATTAAATTTAAAAAAACAATATGCTTTCAATTGCGACAGGCAGCAAGATAGAGCTCATTAGGCTCTTGTCTATAGTTGCTGCTGCGTACAGGAGCAGCAGCAACAGCAGCAGCAGCAGCAGCAGCAGCAGCTCTAGTTCAGTTTTCTAAGCTGATGAAGGCCCTTATTGAAAGTCAAATAAAGAACTAATTTAAGAATAAAAGTATATAGATGAACAAATAAGCATTTATATAATATATATTATATACATTACATATCATTCGGAGCTTTTACTTTGAAAACAAATTAATAAAGAGCAGCTTCAAGAATCAAAAGAAGCAAAAGTCTCTTCTCTTGAGGTGTACGTACACCTCAAGTGTACGTACACCTCAAGTGTACGTACACCTTGAGGTGTACGTACACCTCAAGAGAGGGAGTTTTCTGTGTCGGTTTGGGCTCGTTTTTGGGTCTATTTGGAGCGTTTGAATTGTTTTAATTGTAATTTGTTGTTTTATTTTGTTTTATTTTGTTTTATTTTGTTTTATTTCGTTTTATTTTTCATTTATTTCTTAAAATCCCGAAAACGAAGACTAAAACCCCTCACGTCCTCCGCCGCAGAAACGCTCTCCGGCACTTGGCGGCCCAGCCACAAGTCCAGCCAAGAAGTGGCCATCAGCAGCTGCTCTTCTGTCAGCTGCAAACAAATAATAAATAATAAATAAATAATAAATAAATAATAAATAATAAATAAATAATAAATAAATAATAAGCAATAAATTAAATAAACTAATTAATTAATTATAATAAATTTGTTAATAGGCGAAGTGGTTGCAGCAAGGGGGCCCACAGAAATGGGCAAACAAAAAAGCAAACAAACAAAAATAAATAATAAACAATAAAAAACAAATAATAAACAATTAAAAATAAACAATAGACATTTAATAAATAATAAACAATTAAAAGTAAATAACAAGCAATAAAAACAAATAATAAACAACTAAAAATAAATAATAAACATTTAAAAATAAATAATAAGCGATTAATAATGAATAAAAAACAATTAACAATGAATAATGAACAGTTAAAAATAAATAATAAACAATTACTAATAAATAATAAACAATTAAAAATAAATAATGTACAGTTAAAAACGAATAATAAATAATTAAAAATAAATAATAAATAATAAACAATTAAAAATAAACAGTAAACAATTAATAGTAAATAGTAAACAATTAAAAATAAATAATAAACAATTAATAATAAATAATAAACAACTGATAATAAATAATAAACAATTAAAAACAAATGATAAATAATTAAAAGCAAACAATAAACAATTAAATGCAAATAATCAACAATTAAATGCAAATAATAAACAATTAAAAACAAACGAATAAATAATAAACCAGCAGCAGCAAAAAACAAAAACTGAAAAAAGAAAAAAATTAAAAATTAAAACGCACCAAACAAAACGCCGAGGTGTATGTACACCCGGGACCCAAAGACACCCAGAAGACAAAAAGCAAATTAAATAATAAACCGAAATGAAATAATAAAAGTGAGCAAATTACAAACAAACAACAAAACACAGCAGCAGCAACAGCAGCAGCAGCAGCAAAACAGCAGCAGCAGCAGCAAAACAGCAGCAGCAGCAGCAAAACAGCAGCAGCAGCAGCAGCAGCAGCAAAACAGCAGCAGCAGCAGCAGCAGCAAAACAGCAGCAGCAGCAGCAGCAGCAAAACAGCAGCAGCAGCAGCAGCAGCAGCACGTGCGCAGCTAGGGAATTAGTCTAATTTAAATACATCCTAAAGAAGGAATTAAATTAAATTAAAATATATTTTTAATTAATTTAATTTAAATTAAATTAAAATATATTTTTAATTAATTTAATTTAAATTAAATTAAATAAATTCTCACCAACTCCGCAGGGGCCCCTTCTGTGGCCCTGGGGGGCTCAGCTGTATCTACCCAGTGGTCTTTAGCCCTCAGCTGCAGGCGCATCAGCTGCTCGAACGCAGCAGCAGCAGCAGCAGCAGATTCTTCCCCCGCTGCAGCAGCAGCAGCAGCAGCAGATTCTTCCCCCGCTGCAGCAGCAGCAGCAGCAGCAGATTCTTCTCCCGCTGCAGCAGCAGCAGTAGGAGATTCTTCTCCCGCAGCAGCAGCAGCAGCAGGAGATTCTTCTCCCGCTGCAGCAGCAGCAGCAGGAGATTCTTCTCCCGCTGCAGCAGCAGCAGCAGGAGATTCTTCTCCCGCAGCAGCAGCAGCAGCAGGAGATTCTTCTCCCGCTGCAGCAGCAGCAGCAGGAGATTCTTCTCCCGCTGCAGCAGCAGCAGCAGGAAATTCTTCTCCCGCTGCAGCAGCAGCAGGAGATTCTTCTCCCGCTGCAGCAGCAGCCGCAGCAGATTCTTCTCCCGCTGCAGCAGCAGCAGGAGAAGAGTCTCCTGCAGCAGCAGCAGCAGCAGCAGGTCCGCCGGGGGCATCAGCGCCCGCAGCTGCACCCGCGGGAGGCGAACCCGCCGCCGCTGCTGCTGCTGCTGCTGCTGCTGCTGCTGGGGTGTCTGTACACCCCACGGCCGCGGGGCGGGGGGCCCTGCCCCCAAAAAGAGCCAAAGTGGGGGCTTTTAAATTTGCTGCCACAGCCCGCATGTCAAATGGAGAAGGAAATAAAGCAACAGCAGCATCTACAGAAGGAAGAGCAAGCAGGGGCCCCGGGGGCCCCTGGGGGCCCCCTGGGGGCCCCTGGGGGCCCCCTGGGGGCCCCCCGCGTACCCGTGTACGTACACCTGGGCGCGCAGCAGCGGCAGCAGCAGCAGCAGCAGCGGCGTCAGCAGCAGCAGGGGCCACTGACACTGCAGCACGGGCACCCGGGGCAACTGCAGCAGCAAACTCAAGAGCTGCTGCTGCTCCTTCGCCCACCCCAAAGACAGCAAATGCTGCTGCTGCTTCCTGCAGCCGCAGCCACAGCAGCGCGCGGGCCACAAGCCCGTGAATGCCCAGCTGCTGCAGGTGGCCAGCAGCAGCAGCACTCGCGCCAGAGCCTGCTGTTCCCGCTGCTTCTCCCCCTGCTGCTGCTGCTGCTGCTGCTGCTGCTGCTGCTGCTGCTGCTGCTGCTGGCAGCTCTGGCACCAACACAGCAGCGCCGCAGCTGAGGGCAATGCGGTCGGCGATGTGCCGCACGCGGGCATCCCTGCAAACAAAATAAACAGCAAATAAATAAATAAATAAATAATTAATAAATAAATAAATAAATAAATAAATAATAATTAATTAATTAATTAATTAATTAATTAATTAATTAATTAATTAATTAATTAAATGAATTAATTTGCCCTTTAGAGTTGATCAATTTGCATTTCTGGAGAAGACCGCAGCCGGAGGCGCCGCTGCTTCCTGCAGCTTCTTTGTTTTCATTTCTTTTTGTTTTAATTCCTTTTCCACTTTTATTTATTTAAAAAGTAATTTAATTAAATAAATATTTAATTTAATTTAATATTTAAATGTCAAAAAAGACAAAACTTGGCGAAGTCTTCGCCGGGCGGCTGCAGGCGCGAAAATGAGGTGTACGTACACCTGAATATGGTTCAACTTCGCGGGCACAGATGCAGATATAAATTCATAAATATTTATATTTATATATTTACAAATACATTTAAATATATTTAATATATTTAATGCATTTAAATGGCACATTTAAATGTAATTAAAGCATTTAAATGCACTTAAAACATTTAAATATTTATTGCAATTAAAGGGTTTAAATAAAACCCTTTAAATGGAATTAAATAAAACCCTTTAATTGCAATTAAAGGGTTTAAATAAAATCCTTTAAATGGAATTAAATAAAACCCTTTAAACATTTAAATAAATATATTTAATAATAATATATATATATTATCAAAATATATTTGTAGGGCCAAAGAGAAGCACCTGGGTTTGAGCTCTCCGGTGAGCAGAATAACAATTCTGTTTTTCTCTTTTATTTCATTTAATTCATTTAATTCATTTATTTTATTTATTTCATTTATTTTATTTATTTTATTTATTTCATTTATTTCTTTTCTTTCATTTATTTCATTTCTTTCTTTTGTCTCCAACGCAAAAGATGATAAACTGCTGCGGCAGTAATAAGCAGCCCCCAGCAGCCCTGGGGGCTTCTTGCCCTCAAGAAGGCTGAAAAGAGACAGAGGCGCAGCATCCCCTGCTGCTGCTGCTGCTGCTGCTGCTGCTGCAGCTGCTGCTGCAGCTGCTGCTGCTGCTGCGCCAGCAGACCCCACGGGGAGAAAGGCGGTAAGAGGCCCCAAAATGAAGAGAAGTAAGTGGGCCTGAGCCGCGTACACTCGAACTTGCTCCGGAAACGCATATCCAGCGAGCCCTACATCCTCTCGAGCAGAAAATGCAAAATAAGAAAAAAATTGAAATTAATTAATTCTTTAAACTCAAAAAAAACCCCAAAGATGAGTTTAAAACACAATAATAACTGAATTGAGTCCAGCGCAGGGGCCCCTGCCTTGCCTTAGGGGGCCCCTGGGGGGCCCCCGGGGGCCCCCGCCCGCCTCTATGGGTGGCTGGCTTCACGCGGTCAGCTGGTCACAGATCTTCTGGAAAATTGGAATTAAAATCAGATTTAAATCAAAGTTCTCCTTTTAATTTGTCATTTGAGTTATTTTCCTCCTTTATTTGCCGGCCTTTTGGGTTTATCTCCCTGTTTTCCCCGTTTGCTTCGCTGCAGCTGGCGGTGCAGCCGCCTCGATTCAGCTTCGCGATTCTCCCCTAAAACTCCTGAATTTTTGCAATTGAATAATTTAAAATTGCATTTATTTTCATTTTACTTCCCTTTTTTTCCAAGATCAGCCCTAAAAATGGCGCTTTCTCCCCGAACACCGATTCTTCCCTCGGCGGTTTCCACTGCCTTTCTGTTCACGGTCGCGGCGCTCTTGTCGGCCTCTCCAGCTTCAACACTGAAATTCAACAACACAAACGCTTTAAATAAAAGCTTTAAAGGTAAATTTCAAAATTAAAATTAGAAAATGCATTCGGACTTCGCCGATTCGGGGGCCGCTGCCGACGGCTGCGCTGCTGCTGCGCGTGTGCAGCAGCAGCAGCAAAACGCGGCGTTTGTCGGATTTAAAGTTGAAAACTTGAATTAAATTCAAAATTAAAATCAATTAATTCCTTTTTGGATCTTTTTGACGCAGATTTAACCCCCGATCCGCTGCTGCATGCGCCGCGTTTCCACTTCGTGCAAGAACCAGATCGGAAACTTGCAAAGAGTTTTCTTTCTTTTCCCCCAACTCCAGAAACTCCCAAAGAAGAACTTGAGGAAATAAAACTCCTTTTCGACCCCCCGAGTGGTAAATCATGCGCAGAAGACGCGCCGCTGCAGTTCAGGAATTAGGGTTTAGGGTTTAGGGTTTAGGGTTTAGGGTTTAGGGTTTAGGGTTTAGGGTTTCGCTGCTGCAGCGCCGCTTTTGCTGCTGCCTTCTCAGGCCCTCCAAACAAATCAAAGAAAGTCTTTTGGGCTGTTGCTGCTGATGTGGCGGCGCTGCTTTTCATTGCTGCTGCGATTCCCTTCATTTCCTACTTGGTGAGAAGCTCTGGCTAGCTGTGGCTAGCTGTGGCTAGCTGTGGCTCGATACGGCTAGCCGTGGCTAGCTGTGGCTCGGTACGACTAGCTGTGGCTAGCTGTGGCTAGCTTTGGCTAGCTGTGGCTAGCTGTGGCTAGCCGTGGCTAGCTGTGACCCGATATGGCTAGCTGAGGCTCGCTCCAGCTAGCTACAGCTAGCTGTGGCTAGCCCCCGCTAGCTGCAGCTAGCTGTAGCTAGCTGTGGCTAGCTGTAACTGGCTGCAGCTAGCTGCAGCTAGCTGTAGCTAGCTGTGGCTAGCTGTAGCTAGCTGTAGCTAGCTGTAACTGGCTGCAGCTAGCTGTAACTGGCTGCAGCTAGCTGTAGCTAGCTGTAGCTAGCTGTGGCTAGCTGGGGTTGGGAGTTGTTGAAATCCCTTGAGTGAACTTTTGTGGCTTCAGGCGGGGGGGAGGCGGTGGAAGGTCTGCAGCAGAAGCAGCAAATGGTATTTTGGAATTAAAATTTTTGGAAAATAAAAACTTGAAAAAAGAATTTTTCGAAACTGAAAAGTTCCGCAAATATAAAAGCTTTTAAAAGCACAAAAAGCCGCATTTAAGAGTTCCTTTTTTGCCAATTTGGAGCCAAAAAATGCAAATTGCATTTTCCAAAAAGTTGAATTTTGCGGCTTTTGCGAATTGCAGATTCAGTGCAGCAAAGCCGCTGCAGCAGCAGCAGCAAAAGCGAAAGCCGAAGCAGCTTTTTGATCTCCCGGAAGTTCTAAAATGCTGTTAAAGCCAAGAAAGTGGGGTCCTGTGGCTAGCTGCAGCTAGCTGCAGCTAGCTGCAGCTAGCTGTGGCTAGCTGTGGCTAGCTGTGGCATTATTAGACCAAAAGGGGATTTAATTTTCCAATTTAAACTCTTTAATGCAAATGCAAAACAAGAGGCGCTCCTTTGCGTGGAGCGGCGGCTCGCGGGAAGTTGAATTCAGAAAGTTGAACTTCGCCTCCAGCGCGTCTTTGACTGAATTTCCTGTTTGCAAACTCCGAAAAAAGTCTTTTTTATTCTTTTCTGTTTTAAATTCCCCACTTTATTCCTCTTAATCGGCCCAGAAATGGCAGTTTCCGAGAGCTTTTAGGGCTCGCTTTCCCTGGGGGCGGCGGGCGCGGGGGTCCGGGTGTACAGACACCGCAGCGTGCCGCGCAACGGATCGGCCGCCTGCGAAGAGCTTTTGGCGAAAGAGTGCAGAAAAGGGAGAAATGAATTCCATCATTTGATTTATTTGTTTGTTTTGCATTTATGGAATCGCTGTAGAGCCGGAGTTGTCGCCGGAAGCCGCCAGATCGCGCCAATGCCCGGCCCCTCCGCAGCCCGCGGCTTTGCCACGCCTCCGCGGAACTTGCTGGAGTGAGGCTTTCTTTTCTTTCAGAAGTTTCGAAGTGGAATTTGTTTTATTTGTTTTATTTTTTTATTTTCTTTTCTTTTTTCAACTCCGCGGACTCCAGATACTCCCGCAGCGGAGATCTCCTCGAACGCCTCGCCCTCCGCCCCTTCTGCCTCCGCAGCTTTCAGCTCCTGATGAGCTCCCGCTGTCTCGTCGCCGGCGGCGCTTTGCTGTCTTCTTCAGACGTGCGTTTGCTGCAGTAAGTGGAGAAGCAAAAGAAGAAAACAAAACAAAACAAAACAAAACAAAACAAAAGAAAGCAAAACAAAACAAAATAAAAGAAAAGAAAACAAAACAAAACAAAAGAAAATAAAACAAAACAAAACAAAAGAAAGAAAGAAAAGAAAAGAAAAGAAAAGAAAAGAAAAGAAAGAAAGAAAAAAAAAGAAAAAAGAATTTCTTTTCAAATCTCTTTTTCAACTTTTGAATTATCCGCAGACTCCTCGAAGACTCCATTCGGCTGATGTTCGCCTACGGCGCCTCGCCAGCAGAAACTGTTCAAGTCATGGCTGGTGAATTCATTTTTATTTTATTTTATTTTATTTTTTATTTTTTATTTTTTATTTTTATTTATTTTTTATTTTTATTTTTGTTTTTGAACTTTTCCAAACTTTTCAACTTTTCGACTTGTCTTGTTTGGAGCTTTTCTCGTTTTCTTATTTTCGGCTTTTCTTCTTTTTCTCTTTTTCTGTTTTCGACTTTTCTTTTCAACTCTTCTGCAACTTCTCTTCTGTTCTTCTTTTCAAATTTCTTTTCTTTCAATTTTTATTTTAAAAGTTTTATTTTTTAATTTTCAATTTTTAAAATTTTTATTTTTCAATTTATTTTCAGAGTGCACTTGCCTGGTGGACAAGTTGGTTCTTTCTCCCCACCGGACTCAGTTGTTTGACGAGCAGGTGCACTTAATAAATAAATTTAATTAATTAATTAATTAATTAATTAATTAATTGATTAAATTAATTAATTAATTAAATTAAATAATTAAATCAAATTAGATTAAACTGAACTGTTCAACTTTTCAGAACTTGAATTTATTTGCTGCTTCTTCAGGAATGGATCCACGTGATTATGATTTGCGTAATGGTCGCCTTCCTAAGAGTCAAGCAAGTGCCCCGTGACCAAACCAGCAGCAGCAGCAGCAGCAGCAGCAGCAGCAGCAGCAGCAGCAGCAGCAGCAGCAGTTGTTCAGCCGCTGTGAAGCAAAAGTGGCACGAAGTGTTGTTTGCAACTTACTGTTCTTTCGGAGAACTCGACGAAGCTGTTCGAGCGGTAAATTAAAAAAGTTATTTTTGTTTCGAGCGCATGCAAAATGGCCGCCGGGGTGTACGTACACCCCAACGCAGGTCCTCATTCTCCTCAACCACGACACAAAAGTTTCTCCCACTTTTGTCGAAGTCAAAAAGGCTCTTTTGCTGGCCACTCCTTTCTTTCAAAAAACAAATAAATAAAATCAATTCCAAAATTTAAATCAAAAAAATAAATCCAAAAAGTCAAAAACAATTCCTCGCCAACCACTGCCAAGCGCCCCAGCTGTACAGACACCCGGGCCGGCTGCAGCAGCAGCAGCAGCAGCAGCAGCAGCAGCAGCAGCAGCATGCAGACGTAAAAATCTAGCAGCAGCAGCAGCAGCAGCAGCAAAATCAGTTGGCGCAGCTGAAAAACGATGAAGGGCTGCAGCCAGAGGCACATGGAGAAAGGCAGTCAGCAGCAGCTGCTGCTGCTGCTGCTGCTGCGTTTCTTTCATCTTGCTGCTGCAGGTCTCCTGCTGCTGCTCCGTATTGGCTGTCAAGCCATGGCGAATGGTCTGTGCAATAAACAGCAGCAGCAGCAGCAGCAGCAGTGTCTGTACACCTCATTCAGGCTGCCCCTTGTGAACAAACCATTTATTTCTCAAAAAAAAAACAAAAATAGCTGCTGCTGCTGTTGCTGCTGCTGCTGCTGCTGCTGCTGCTGCTGCTGACCGGCTCACCTTGCTGCTGCTGCTGCAGCAAAGACCTTTCCGCCCAAGGATCCCTTTCCCCGTACGAGGGGGCGCTTCCGCGCCCATAGTCCGGCCGCCCATGCTGCTGCTGCTGCAGCTGCTGCTGCAGCTGCTGCTGCTGCTGCTGCTGCTGCTGCTGCAGCAGCTGGTGCTGCAGCAGCGGGCGGGACTGGTGGCTGGTGTGGGTGACGAGGTAAGGAGCAGCAACTGGGACTTGCTGCTGCTGCTTGTGGGGCCCCACATTAAAGACAGCAGCAACTTTTGGCTGCAGCAGCAGCGGCAGCAAATTGTCTCTGTAGCGGCTGACGAAGTATGGCTGCTCCACCACTTTGACTCTGCAGCAAAATAATTAATTAATTAATTTAATTAATTAATTAATTAAATTAATTTAATTCATTTATTTCATTTATTTGATTTAATTACTTTAATTCATTTAATTCATTTAATTCATTTAATTCATTTAATTACTTTAATTCATTTAATTCATTTAATTCATTTAATTAATTTAATTCATTTAATTCATTTAATTCATTTAATTCATTTGATTCATTTAATTAATTAATTTTATTAATTTTGTTTACTTTTACTCTATTTAATTCTATTTAATTCGATTTAATTTGCTTTATTTAATTTTGTTTAATTCTTTAATGGCAACAACAGTGGCAAGAATGGCAACAGCCGCACTGGCAGTAGTGGCAGTAAGTAATTGTAGAAGTGATAATAATAACAATAATAACAATAATAATAATAATAATATAATAAATAATAATATAGTAATAATAATAGTAATAATATAATAATAATAATAATAATAATAATAATAATAATATAATGATAATAATAATAATAGTAATAATAATATAATAATAATAATGGTAATAATAATAGTAAAAATAATAATAATGGATTATGATAATAAATAATAATGCAAATAGCGATTAATAGCAATTAACAATAATAATAAAGACAGTAATTCATAACAACAGTAATAATAATAATTAATAATAATTGCTAACAATAATAATAATAATAATAATAATAATAATAATAATAATAGTAATAATAATAATAGTAATAATAATAATAATAAGAAATAAAGAAAGTTAAAATGAAAGTTAAATACTGGCAACTAATGGAAAATGAAATAATAAAAATAATTAAATGAATATTAAATTAAATAACTAAAATAAATAATTAAAATAAATAATTAAAATAAATAAAATAAATAACTAAAATAAATATTTAAAATATTAAAAGTGAACAGATAATAAATAATAAAAAAAACAAAAACAAATACATCATTAAAAAATAAAATAGAGAAAATACAACTGCAACGAACCCAATTAATGGAAATAAATAATATTAAAAAAAAATAATAAGTAAATAAAACAAAATATTAAAAATAAATGAAAAATAAACAGCAAAAATACATAATTAAAATAAATAATGAAAATTAAAAAAAAAGAAAAGTGTGAAAAAGATATTCCACAATAAATAAACAAAGTTGCAATTTAACTTCGAAAAGAACTATTTTATTATTCCCTTTTAGTTATTTTCCATTTGCATTTATTCTAATTTATTTATTCTAATTTATTTATTTCAATTTATTTTATTCCAATTAATTTATTTCAACTTATTTTATTTATTCTAATTAATGTATTTCAATTTATTTTATTTATTCTAATTTACTATTTCAATTTATTTGTTTTGATTTATTTTAATTTATTTGTTTATTCTACTTTATTTCTTTTAACTTAGCTTTTTATTTTACTTTTTTTACTTATTTGTATTTAACTGTTTATTACAATTTATTACCACGACTCATTTATAATAATTAATTTATTTGCCAATTTTTAATTTATTTAATTTAACCATTTGCTGCAATTAAATAATTTTGATTGCAATCCATTCCAATTATAATTCATCACTTATTACACATTTACTTGCCCATTTATTCTAATTAATTAATGAATTAATCTACTTATTTTAATTTATTTATTCATTTATTTATTTTAATTTTATTAATCAATTGATTAACTAATTAAGCCACTTATCTAATTAATTGATTAGCTAATTAATTAATTAACTAATTAATTAGTTAACTAATTAATTAACTAATTAATTAACTAACTAATTAATTAAGCAATTAATCAACACACTAATTACTTACTTAATTAATTAATCAATTAATTAACTAATTAATTAACTAATTAATTAACTAATTAATTAGTTAATTAATTAGTTAATTTCTGCCCCGTTGCTCGAAAGTTGTGGGGCGTGGGGTGTATGTACACCTACACTGGCTGTTCAAAAAAAAGGAAAATGTCAATTACACTTACACTGGTTTTTCAAAAGGAAGTGGAATATCAATAAAGTGGGGTTTGTGATTTATTATGAATTAACTAATTAATTAATTAATTAATTAATTAATCAATTAATTAATTAATTAATGAATTAATTAATTAATTAATCAATTAATTAATTAATTAATTAATTAATTAATTAATTAATTAATTACACTTACACTGGTTTTTCAAAAGGAAGTGGAATATCAAA